GCACGCGCAACCCAACGAGGCCCAAGATGGAGGACGGCCTTAGAAGGCGCGTTGAGGCCCGAGCGAGAGCGCGAAGGCCCAAGCAAGGCCCAGCGAGAGGTATGGCCCGTGGCTGGGGAGCCGCTAGCGTCGTCGTCATCATTTCTGCCTTCGTCACAGCGGCGCACATACACACAGACGCCGGCGGCGGACGAGGCGCGGCGCAAGCAGGAAAAAAGACAGCAGGCAGGGTGAAGCCAAACGAAGTTCTGACCGACATGTGCTCCAAGAGCTGAGGTTCCATAGAAATGCTAGGGAGGCGGCACGCAGGCCACCGGCGGCACGCCAGCTGCAAAAGAAAAGACGGCGACGATACATGGAGCGATGACAGCTCCGAATCCGATGATACATGGAGCGACGACAGCTCCGAATCCGCGGGCGCAGGCGCTGCTCAAGCGAGCGTTTCTTCCACTTCATCGGCCACATCAGTGATCCCTTCGCCCACAAGGGGGAGCAGAGAGGCATCCATGGCGCACTCATCATCGTCGTCGAGGCCGAAGATCGCCGTCAAGGCGGCGATGGCGTGCGGCGGCAGGGGCCCATCAAACATGGCCATGTACTGGCTGAGAACGCGCTCCACGGAGGCATCTTCTTCGTCATGGAGGATGCCCAACCTCCTGAATAGGATGCGCTGGCACCTCTCCATCATCGGTCTTGCAGGTTGCTTGGCGAGGTGCTCACTCCGCCGGATTGCCTGGCTATGCTGCCTCGGCCGGAGCTTCACCTTCCTTGTGAGGACGACCGGCCGCAGACATGGAAGCGTCGAGCGCAGCGGCGACGCAATGATAGCCGGCGGAGGCGAGGTGAACAGTCCCGCGATGGCGCATGGCGAGGATGCGCGTTCCGGCAGCGAGCCCGGCTCCAGCGCCGACAGGGGCGGGGTGGCTGGCATATGGGTCATCTCTTGGGGAAGCAGCGCCCCGGGGAGCGGCGCCGGCAGAATCTTGTCGGCCACAGCGTCGCTGGCCAGATCTTCCAAGCGGCGAGGCGGGGACGCTGCGAGAGGTGCCGGTGACATGGGCTGTGGTAGGAGAGTGTCATCGCCTGGGGTGCGAGCTGCAGCGGCAGCGAGCTCAAGGCGCATCAGCGCCTCCTCAATTTGCTGGTAGGTTGTCGGCGTTTCGACCGCTGGCGTGGCCGGCAAGGCCTCCCTGATACGGCCAAAGACACGCGCAACAGGCACTGGCTTCCATGCCGTGCCGCTGAACCAGGCTTCAGTCCCAGTGGAAGACCGGATGGCCAGGTCCTCCATCGCCGTCGGAGGTGGCGCAGCCATGGCCTTATCAGCGACAAGCGCGAGGCGAAGCAGCTGATCACGCCGGGATTTCCTGCATCTTGAACGGGGAAGTGTGCAAAGCATGCAGCAATCGAAATATGCAAACCTCGGTGTGAAGCTCCTGCTGGCGGGAAGGCAGAGAGATCTCTGCCAGGTGTGGCTCGGGGTAGACAGGATCGGTGACGTTGTCCACGTCGGTGGCACCAGCGTGATGACGCCGGCCGCCATGGTGACTGTGCCCTCCCCTGTCGCGCTGGCGCGGGGAGCGTGTGCGTTCACGGCGGTAGTCTTGATCAATCGCACGTTGTTCGCCGCGGCCACGCCCAAAGTCTCGTCCCCGTTCATTCCAATCGTCGTCGTCTCAATCCCTGCATCGCCAGTTTTGATTAGCCCTGGGGTGGTCGTTGTTGTGCCCCCGGCGACCTCTTCTCCTGCCACGGGCACAGTCGTCACGGTCGGCCGGGGCGTCACGATCATCATCGCCGTGGCCGTCTTCTTCTTCATCTACCAAATCAGTAAGTCCATACATCTCTGAAATGAAATTCTTCAGATGCTGAAGAATGCAATATACTGGGTATCAGTCCACATGCATATCTGAAACGAAAATGCTTCGGATGCAGAAGAATTCAGACATGCAGGTAGTTGGTTTAGTTAACCAAACAACAGACTAAGGCATCAGTACTGACGGATCAGTCCATGCATCAGAAACGAAACGCAGCATTCAGAATTTCAGAGAAAGTTCTCCCTTCTATATTCAAATTCAACTCACACCAGAATCCAAACTGCATGAAAACCAATCGGATAGAGGCACGTAGCAAACAATTTGGGGTCAAAATATTCACTTCATGCAAGCGATCCAGCAGTTCAACTCATTCAACGACACAACCGATCGACTCTGTTCTTCTTGGACAGGATGCACGAACTCCCCAATTCGATCTAAATCTACCAGAGCCACAACACACACAACTACGAGACAGCCGCCATGGCGCCATCACACGACGAGAAACACTGCGGGTTAAGAGATCGAAGTGAGTACTATACTTCAAGATTCAGACGTTCTCCGGGCGGATCTCCTCCTCCTGCTGCTGCTCCTCCTCCTCCTTGTCGCTGAGTTCGATCTCGATGGTACTGAAGGTCTTGCGGATCTCCTCGGTGGTCTTGGCCTTGCTATTGTCGGCGACCCTCTGGTAGGTGAGGTCGAGGAGCCCATCGATTTTGAGGTAGCTGGAGGCCAGGAGGACCAAGAAGAGGAAGGAGCCGTCGTCCTCGTCCAGCTCGTCGATGAAGGCCTTGTCCCAGTTCTTGAGTTCCTCTTTCTGCTCGTCGGTGTCGGAGTTCTCGTTGGCGTGCTCGTCGCAGTACTCGATCACCTTCTTGAGGGTCTTTTTGTCGACGTGTGGGAGCGGGATGGCCTCGCCGCCGCGGCCGGCGTCGATCTTGTCCCCGATGACCTTGGAGATCCTCGCCGACGCCTCTGTCACCTCGACCGGCTCGCCGTCGGAGCTCTTGAGGGTGATCATCACGTGGAAAAATCTAATTCTTGTATTATGATGTTTTCTCATATATTAGATCGACCCTCTCATGGGATATATATAGGAGTATATAGGAGATAGAGTCTTAAAATACAGTATAAATAAAAGTAGATTTATCTCTATTTTATCTCTAGAATTCTATCTCTAGGATATATCTTATTTCTATATCTTATCTTTAAGATACAAATAAAAGTAGATTCTATCTCTAACCGACATATCTATACTTCTAACTCATCCTGCCGTTCTCCTCCTCCTCCTCCTCCCCCGCCGATGCAGACGCCTTCTCCGCCGAATCCAACACCTTCTCCTCCACCACCTCCGACTCCACCTTCTCCACTGCCCCCTCCGACACCACCGCGCCGCCTCCCTTCTTCTCCACCGCCTCCGACACCACCTTCTCGAACGCCTCCCACAAAGCCTTCTCCACCACCGCCTGCGACACCATCGTCTCCACCACCTCCGACGCCATCGCGCCCTCGCTCTTCTTCTCCACCGCCTCCGACACCACCTTCTCGAACGCCTCCCACAACGCCTTCTCCACAACCGCCTGCGACACCATCTTCTCCACCACCTCCGACGCCGTCGCGCCCTCTCCCTCCCCCACCACCGCGGCCTCTCCGCCGTTCCCCGCCGCCATCACTCGCTCTCGCTCCTCACAGAGCCCTAGCTCTCCTTGCACCGACTACCTAGCTAGCGCTCGCCGCGTGGATGGTTTGGCACGAGCCGGATTGATTGGTGCGACGTCGGAGTCGCCGGTATATATAACCGCCGGCGTACGGGTTCGGGTCAGCGGCGTCGCCGGGAGGCTGAGCCAGCTAGGCATGGACGAGAGTTTTCTCTTTTTCAGGCTGTGTTGGGCCAGAAGGTTGTGGCTTATGGGCTGAGGATTTGTAAGGGATTAGGCCCATTTGTGAGGACAATGTCCTATTTTCTTCCCTTTTTTCCCCTGGGAGAAGTATTTGTCGGTTGTTAAATCTCTTCATGTTTACATGTTTTGAATTTTTTTTTCTCATACTAAAAACTACTAATTTATTTATACTACAGTATATATTTTTCTCTTCCATGTTCGTTGAGGATCGTATCACCACTTATAAGATTTAAATCAACTCCGGCTCCGGCAAATTGAATGGACTAATAATTGACGATGTAACAACTAACAAGTGGTTCATAATTAGGAGAATTTTCACCGTCTTAATTTCCTTCTAAGAATAGGTTGATAAAACTAACACACTGGAATCACTGGGGCAACCAAGGAACTTGCCTAATTACTAGGAGTAATAAGGATATTTTAGTAAATATTCTGTGACACCATATTTTTTTCATCGAGTGAAGGGGCAGGAGCTCTGCCATTTTATTGATATATGAGAAAGCAGAAAAAAACAACGCACTGTTCAGGAGATTACATTATTACAAGGAATCGATAAATAACCAGCAACAGAAAACGCTGAGAAGCCATGAAAACCAGTAGACTGTAGCTAGAGCTTGTCATATGCACCAAGAGTATGCAAAGCCGCAAGAGTTTGTGAATTGTGATCATGTCAGACCATGTTTTTCCCGAGCTTAACCAATTTTCTTTCTAGGAAATATTATTATCTTCAGTTGGCAACTGATCTTAATTAATTTGTTGATAGTCCCCCCAAAAGAATCTTTAGTAGTTAGTCCCCTTATGAAATGCAGAAATCTTACAGGATATTTATGGTAACTGAAACTAATCAATTCACACGTACAAAAACCATATAAAATCATGCATTCCAAATTAACCAGTAAAAACTAAAAACACCTAGCATTGCAAGTTACAAACACGATGCACTAGACAACTAGTTGAGTGAGCAAACACAACTAGCTATAAATCCGCTACATGATGCGGAAGAAAGCAGAACACATGCAAGGAAGAATTGAGTTTAACTTAACCCACCAATTCAGTAAGTCCACACATATCTGAAATGAAATTCTTCAGATGCTGAAGAATGCAACATACTGGTGGGTATCAGTCCACATGCATATTTCAAAGACTCGAACGAAATGCTTCAGGTGTAGAAGAATTCAGACATGCAGGTAGTTGGTTTAGTACTTTAGTTAGCCAAACAACATACTGAAATACTAAGGCGTCAGAACTGATGGATCAGTCCATGCATCTGAAACGAAATGCAGCATTCAGAATTTCAGACAGTTTTTCCCTTCTCTATTCATATTCAATTCACAACAGAATTCAAACTGCATGAAAACCAAGCGGAGAGAGGCACGCAGCAAACAATTTGCGGGGCGAAATATTCACTTCATGCAAGCGATCGCGATCCAGCAGTTCAAAGCATTCAACGACACAGCCGATCGACTCTGTTCTTCTTGGACAGGATGCAATGCACGAACTCCCCGATTCGATCTGAATCTACGAGAGAGACACAACACACACAACTACGAGACAACCGCCATCACACGACGAGAAACACTACGGGTTAAGAGAAAGAAAGTGAGTACTACTGCTCGAAGGCCCAGGGGTTCTCCCGGCGGATCTCCTCCTCCTCCTCCTTACTGAGGTCGTTGACGATGTTGAACTCCTTGCGGATCTCCTCGGGGGTCTTGCCCTTGATCGTGTCGGCGACCCTCTTGCAGGTGAGGTCGAGGAGGCCATCGATGTCGAGGTAGTTGGCGGCCGCGATGACATCGAAGAGGGCGTCCTGGTCCAGCTCGTCGACGAAGTCTTCGTCCCACTCCTTGAGATCCTCCTCGTCGGCGTCGTCGGCGGCGTGCTTGTCGCAGTACTGCATCACCACGCGGAGGGTATCGTGGTCGATGTCGGGGGTCGGGATGCACTGGTCGGCGCCGCCGCCGCCGCCGCCGGCGAGAATCATCCCGGCGATGGTCTTGGACAGCCTCGCCGACGCCTCCGTCACATCATGCTGCTTGCCATCCTTGCTCTTGAGGTGGATCGTCCTCCTGCCGCCGCCGCTGTCCTCCACCACCCGCTCCCCCGCCGCTCCGCGCGACACCGTCGAGCCCTCTCCCTTCTTCTCCGCCTCCGCCGCCGCCGCCGCCATGTCGCACTCTCCCTCCTTCCCCTTCCCTTTCCCCGCCGCCATCACTCGCTCTCGCTCACGGGAAAAACCCAGCTCTCCTCGCGCTCGGCGATGGATGCGGTGGCACGAGCCCGGATTGATCGGTGCGGGGTCCGAGCCAGATGGGCCGCCAATACATAGCCCCCGGCTTACGCGGCATAGCCTGGAGGCGGAGCCGGTGCTTTGCTTTCGCGTCCGTCACTTTTGTTCGCAGGCCAAGTTGGGCCAGTAGGTTGGGCCAAGGATTTCTCAGGCGAAGTCTATTTATCTTCCCTCATCTCTGGCTCGTGATTAAATAATTATTTAATTAAATTTTTAAAACTTTAACAATCAGTCTCGTATTAAAATAAGTATATAAAATTTTATTAGGTTCTATGAAATTATGATATATTATCTCTGCCATAAAATATATAACAACCTAGTACTAGATCCCTGTCATGTCCAATAATAGGTTACTATATATTTTAGAATGGAGGTAGTATAAATGTATAACCCTTCAAGGCAAATTGACATACAACTTTTTTTCTTTTAAACAAATAATTTTAAGAAATTATTGATGATCAATGTTTAAAGAGTTTGATAAAATCTTGTTCTCAACGTCTAATATTTATGACCGAAGGCAATTCTTTTTCTAGGAACTAGAGTAATTTATGCTATGGTATAACATGTGGTTCTAAGATATTTTTTACGATCATAATTTCTTTTTAAGAACAGGTGGATGGATAAAACTAACACTGAAAAATCGATACAGTGACCAAGGAATGTGCCTAAGAATATTTTGGAAAATATTATGTAATCCGTAACACCATTTCCCTGTCACTCTAGCTGCAAATTGTAAGGTAGAGTATCACACATTTAATATGTTTGTTAGGTTCCATCCACAATTGGAGAATTATTATGTCAACTGGCAGCTTCTGTGATTCTGTGGCAAGTGACCTTATCATTTTTATTTGATATCTAGAAGGGGAGATGCCAACTGTTCTTTTATGTAACAACTTGTGAACTGTTAAGTTAGGTATGCATATAGAGTGTGTGCGAAGAAATTAAAGCTGAACCCTTTATTAACAGTTAAATAAGCATCTATGACTAGCATTGCAAGTTTATATACAAACATGCTAGGTCCACTAATTGAGCACCAACTAGGTGGAAATGGAATACTGCCTCAACTAGCTAGCTAAGCAAATCCATGTAATATTCTTCTATTATACCCCTTCTTTGTATAGTTAGTTTCAGGACAGTTTTTACTTTGACTGACAACTTGGTCTTTTTTTTTTGATTTTGTTCTTTCAAAAAAAAAATCTGGATACTACAAGCTTCAGAAGCTTGTCCTGCTCAACTCCCGGAAGAATGTAAATGAACCGACCTGCAAACTCATTTATAAATCAAATAAATGGATAACCCGTGGATTCCTACATTGTGGTCCAGTTTACCACACCTAGGAATGTAAATGGGTCGACCCACGTATCCACTCAGCGTTTACATTACCATCGGTAACCGCGCGGTTACCGCGGTTACCGGCCTTACCACGGGGTACGGTAATAGAAAAATCGTGGTAACCTCCTTAAATTCAAATAAATTTAGAAAATAATTTGAATTTTTTGATAAATTTTGCACAATTTTCCACGGTTACCGCATGGTAACCGTGCTTACCACCGGGACACGGTAACCCTGGTCCCGGTGATTTGGGAAACCATGCCACTTATAAATTAAATTAGCAGGTAATTCTAGCTTACTTATAAGCGGATTCACGGATCGACCGACTTGCATCCGCTCGGGGTAAAGCGGCTCCGAATCCAAAGCCAAACCGGTTGGTGGTCAGCTCCAGATTCTAGCGATCTGGGCTCCGCTTCCCTCAGGAGCCAGGGCCGCTCGCTCCGCCACCGGGTGTCTGGTGTGGCTGCGCCGACGCGCGCCCCCTCCCACGACCAATCAACGCGCTTCCCGCGGCGCGACCCCGCGTGGGCCCCACCTGCCAGAGGAGGATTCATCCCCGCCCCGCGCGCGCGTATAAACGGACACCTCTCCTCCCCCCTCTCCCTATCTCGTGTGAATTGTGATCTCTCCACCACCATCACCACCACCACGACGCTGCAGGCAGAGAGGAGCACGCGGCCCCTGTGATCTCCGTGCCAAAATCCTCGATCCCCCGCCGCGGAATCCAGCAGAGGTAAGCGCCGATTCCATCCCACTCCCGGGATCTTGGTCCCGCGTCTTTGCTGCGAGCCTGCGAGATCTGATTTTTGTTTTTGGTTTCCTGGAGCGCGTGCTACTGCTCCCCCCATTTCTCGGGGTTGATTTTGGTTGGGAGGTTTGGGATCTGCGTGATTTGGGGATTAGGCGGGGGAGGGATCCCGTTTCTGGGTTGGGGTGGATGGCTGTCGCTGTTCGTGACGCAGATCTGACGAGGTGGGGCTCCTGGGGTGGTGCGGCGGGAGCCGCATCTGGAGATTCCTCGTTGCTGCTTTTTTTGGAAGGGGCAAGTGCATTAGTTTGTTGCGTGCGGTCCTTGTGCTTTTGATTCAGGAGATCTTAGTTCTAGTGATGTAGTTAAATACTGGAGTAAATCAATTTATTTGTAAGCACTTCTCAGTTAGTAATAGGAATACAATCATAGAACAAGGAAATAACGTTTGCATCGAACATTGTTTGATCCTGCTTAGGATTAGGATGCCATCTTTTATTGAGCAGGTGATAGGACATGACTATTTTTAATTTTGGTACTTCCATAATAGGTAGCACACAGACACATAATTTTTTATCAGATTAAAGATGAGAAGTAGAAAATTAATCAATAGATAGGTATGCAATGGTTTGTTGTGCACAAAATTTTCGGTAATGAACCACACTTTAAGTTGGCTTTGAGTGGTTTGAATCTCAGAATTGAGCGAGTCGACAAAAGTTGTTAGGTCCTCGCTATCCAATCAGTGTTAGGTGTTATAATTGTGTGTCACTGCCCATTGAAGTGGTTCTTTTACCTTTTATTCTACACTTCTCCTTTGTAACTTAAGGCTTGTACTTGCAGGGACTGAATTTTGCAATTCTCAGCCATGGGTTCAGTTGTGGATGCTCCAGTGGTTGTGGAGGTATTCTTGTCGCATTACTTTGCGCTGCTTAATGTTATATATTCTTTTCAGTCTGGATCACAGATTATTCCAATTTACTGCTGCATCAACAATGTGGAAAGCCTTCTCTTTTCACCATTAAAGGAGTTGGTTCAGTTTATAAAACCTTTAACACACAAGTCATCATAATCATAAGTTTCTGTGACATGAAGGATCAGTGCCCAGAACCTATCAGTTTTGTCTTCTTTGCAAAATTAATTAGCCATTGAGAACAGATGAAGTGTACTGCAGTCTGATCCATGACTTACAAAAATTGAATCCTCGTGTATTGTCAATATATGATTCTTGCACCTTGAGTAACGAATGTGCATCATCATTAAGAAAATACTCCTGGCTTGTAGAATTGTGCTTTTCATGACTGGCCATTCATCTTACTGGTGAAATCGTGCTTTTCATTCAGGGGGTTGCTGAGAACATGTTGGGTGATAAGAAAGTTACAGTTGTATTTGTTCTAGGTAAACCGTCTTCGTTCCTCAGTTATGTCTGACTATTGATCATCCTTAAACATCACAAATACTTAGGGTAAATAAACTTTTGTGTCTGACCAAGAATTTGCACATAGGTGGTCCTGGAAGTGGAAAAGGCACACAGTGTGCCAACATTGTGGAACACTTTGGATTCACCCACTTAAGTGCTGGAGACCTTTTGCGTGCAGAGATAAAATCTGGTTCTGAGAATGGGTATCTTATTTCCCTCCATAAGTTTCTTTGGGACAAGATTGGCCTCACTTCTTTATTTAGCACTTGCATGTACCTATATGTTTATTGTTACACCTTTTGTTTTTACAGAACTATGATTGAGAACATGATAAAGGAGGGGAAGATTGTTCCGTCAGAGGTTACTATAAAGCTCTTGCAAGATGCCATGATTAAAAATGAGAATGATAAGTTTCTAATCGATGGGTTCCCAAGGAATGAAGAGAATCGTGCTGCCTTCGAGAATGTTGTAAGACCATCTATTGCTTCCACTTCAAATTTAGCTAATCCCATTCTTAGTCAGCAAACCCTCAGGAAGTCAGGATATTTCAGTCGCTTCTTCCCCCTACCCCTTAATGTATTTATAAATGAATTTGTAAGATTGCTGATTTTGTTTCACATATTTCAGACAAAAATTTCCCCTGCATTTGTGCTATTTTTTGACTGTTCTGAAGAAGAGATGGAAAGACGTCTTTTGGGACGCAATCAGGTTTCTTTCATAACTTATGCTCTTTTTAGCATATGTATCCCTGTCACCTTTTTGTTTCTAATATGTCTTATTGCTTTGCAGGGTAGAGTTGATGACAACATTGAGACCATTAGGAAAAGATTCAAAGTTTTTGTTGAATCAAGTTTGCCTGTAATTGAGCACTACAATGCGAAGAACAAAGTTAAAAAGGTACTGCTACACTCTCGTGACCATTACAATTTACTGACTGGTGTTAGTCATTCACATCTGTTTATCATTACCATTCTTTTGGGATCTTCACTTTGATCCCTAATGGCTAACTTATCTTCTGATCAGATTGATGCTGCAAAACCAATTTCTGAAGTGTTTGAAGATGTCAAAGCCATTTTTGCCCCATATGCTAAGGTAATCTACTGATTTCGCTTTGTTTTAACTCCTACATGCCCAAACATTATATTTCTGTTCTAATCTTGCAAACAAAATAGTTCGTTACGTCTTATGTGTGTCATCTACAGTTAGGTATCCAGTTACTTGCACCTGACAAAATATCATGGATACGTGTTATGGAATGGTCCATTCGCATTTAACATCATATTCTTGTTTATCAGGTTGAATAGAGATAAAAAAAGGACCACAGAGGGCACAAATGGTGGCGTGCTGTCAGAAAAGGTATACCTTCATTGTTTATCCACCCCGATACATTTCCTTTCTATTCTTTATTTTTCGTTCCGTGAGTCTAGCAACAAGATTGTTAGGTACTGAATAGTTGATATTTTGGATATGTTAGTAGCAGCAATGGTTGTCGAGGGTAACTGTCAATTGCAATGAGAACTTCACCTCTAATATAATAGGAGTGAAAGTTTCTTATCATGTACGTTAGATCATAATGTGCATTGCTTTCCTTTGATTGAAAGCTAAGATGTCTGAATGCATCCACTGGAAACTTTGGTTATACGTGATGTGAAGAAACTGGCCAAATTTGGGGCTTGATGTAGGGTTTGAGAACGCAAATACTCAAGTGAAAATGACAAATCTTATTTTCAGAAACAAAGCAGCCACGTGTTCATCTTCACTTCGATCAGAAAATGATCTGTTAAACGTGCTCTCATTCTGACTCTTGGTTTTGTTTAATTATAACTTTCTTTTCAATGTGCATTCTATCTGTTCTGTTTACCTAACAGTTAGGCTGATATGCTGTGGAATTATGGATGTTTTTTACCTGAATCAAATGGTTGTGTCATACCTGTAACTTGTGAATCATTTTATTTTCTATTTTTTGCGTTCAATTTGGTTGACAAACATTCAGTTAGGTGTGAGTATGCTAAACCTTCTTTTTATTCCATGGAGTACTCATGAAATCTTCATTAAATTTTTGCAGGCCTTGCTCGAGTGTGACTATATATCTGTGATTAAGAACCATTGATATAGAAGAAAAGTTTTTCTTGGCTCCCATGAGCTACCTAATTATCAGTAGGCAATTCGTTTCGTTACCAGCAATAAGTAGATCCGAGTCTCGCTGCCCCCATGGTGTACCGGCGTGTGTCCTCTGTAATGCTGTACTGTTGTATAATTTACCTCATGGATGATCAAACATTATGCCCTCCCATCAGCTGTGCCATTACAAGAGGGTTTAAAACTTCTGTAACTGTCACATTCTTTCATAAGCGATTGGCTATTCGTTAATTTCAGTCTGTACTATCTTCACTTTTTAAGTTGAAGTTAACAGTATTCAAGCTGCTAGTACAAAAAATCTCAACTTTGGGACCCTGGGGGCCTCACGCAGGGTGGCCGGGCTGCATGGCCCAACTTACATGGGCTGCATGGTGGTGGCCCATGTTGTGGCAGGCTATGCCTAGGAGTGGTAATGGGCTAGGGCCTATGAAACTCTTTCACAACCCATCTCAGCTCTTAAATATTTTTAGCTCAAAAATCTACTAAATTCAGTCCAATCTTTTTTAAACCCAGCTTTTACATTTTTTTAGGTTAAAAAGTTGAGCACATTACCACCCCTATATGTGCCTCGATCTCGGCCTTGCCGAATGCCCGAATGCCGATCTACTACACAGTGATAACTGATAGTAGCGTGCATTTGGGCGTGAGTCTGCTCTGTTGGTCATGACATTACCCACTCCTATATACTCCTATGTTCATGCATAATCTAGTTGTAGTGCAGAATCTGCACGATTCCTAGTTTTTTTTTTTTGGGGGGCCTTGTGGCCGGCCGGTCAATATGTTGTCAGAAGAAACATATGCATGGCGTGGGATAAAGCCGCAATAATGCTGTCTAAAGGAGGGGGGGGGGGGGGGGGCACGATTAACCTGATAGCATCACAAACACACAGCGATCGATCGGACCATGCATTGCTGAATTAACCTCCACACTGTTGGACGTGAAGTATATTTCATCATCTGAAAAGATGGGGCAGCAGCATGCAGTCGTTTGTCGTTTCATGCTCTGCCAGATTGGACGTGCTATAAGCACTTTCACGTTATTGAGACATTCATTTGTCTAGCACATACTCCTATATATACAATTTTTACGGATATACTTTTTCCGTCTTAAAATGATTTTAAGCGCAGTTACATAGGTTTTTATATCCAATATCTAATTGTCCGTTTTATTTAAAAAAATATAAAAAAAATTTAAAAAACAAGTCACGCATATATTACTAGTATGTTTTATCATCTAACAACAATAAAAATACTAAACATAAAAAAATTTAAAATAAGACGGACGATCAAACATGAGACACAGAAATCCACAACTGCACTTAAAATAAAACGGAGGGAATACTTATTTATTTTCTAATATATGACGATGTTGATTTTTTAGATATGTTTAACCATTCATCCTAATTAAAAAAATTATGTAATTATTATTTTTTTTGCAATTTGATTTATCACTAAATGTTTTTTAAGCATGACTTATAATTTTATTGATTTGTAAAAAAAAAAATGAATAATATGAATGGTCAAATGTATGTAAAAAAGTCAACATTGTTATATATTAAAAAACGGAGGTAGTATAAAATATCTTTTTATTGATTCGTTTACTTTTTTTTTTGCTGTTGTTTGTATATCAACCGTAGAGCAAATTAATGCGAGTAGTTTCTCCATTTTGTGCTGAACCGGAAAACTATCGAATGTACATACATACAGAATATGGTCAAACTAAATTGGACAAATCTCGTCCTTCAGATATACTACTGTGCAGTGTGCAGTTCCGTTTGATGATTCATCGATCACATCAAGTTAAAGTGAATACAGCTATAGCGCATCCAATAATTTATTTTCTCATGGATCTCGCTTGCGATTAACTCGATCGATCATATCAGATATAATCACCCATGCAAATCGATTAGGGCTAGAGCCATCCATCCAAATGCCAGCCAACCACAAAATACTCTCTTAATTTTAATTGCTTTTCAGCTAGCTAGTTAGCTAGAGATACACAAATAATATATACATTACTATAGCTCCTTTCTGAACCAAAAGATCCATATATTAATTAACTAGCTCAAAATAAATCCTCCTCTCTTTACCATTATTCTTTCCTTAACGGCGATCGATGTCTTTTTTCTCCGTTGTTAGCAGCCGGCCGCCGGAGCACGAGCTCTCTGTCACCACGCCGACGGCCGCCGGTGAGGACCACCGCGGATTAATGCATGATAAAGACCTAAAGCCCAGCTACCTTTGGGATCATGCATGTGCAAGGCCTTGTCACTGCATTGTAATTGACCTATAAGAAATTATAAACCTTTAACACACAAAAAGCCAGTGAATGTGACCAGCATGTGTGATCACTCCTCTTGTAGCCTTGATAAGTGACATGCTTAGAAATTAGGGTTCCATGTCCACATATAGGTGCATAATCAATTAATTAATTAAAGAATCATGTAGACTAATCACACCAATCATATGTTATAACAAAAAACCTGCAAAAGTGGGCTTGCTTTTCCCCATAGGTTTGAGGTTAAGTGGTTGGCTCGGAAGCTCATCTTTTGGCTCCAATTATTCCAACCCAAGGCCGGCCGGTAGTACATGTGTGCGTGTGTAGATGGTTCCTTGTTTATGTACTGCTAAGGCAAAGTTAATTACCCCTTTTTTGGGCACAAAGCATGGGCTTTGCACTGCATGCTTCTTTCCACGCATGCCAATGCCAGTAAAGTCCACAAGGTCCCCCCATCCCAACCCAACCATTATACATTATTACCCCCAAAAAATTATAATACAAATTGAAATGGCCACAAACAATGGAACACCCAGGACATGTACTCATATATATAGTCACCGACAAAGCAGAATTTCTGCCCCAAAAATACTATTTTAGGTCCCAACAACACGCTAATATACATCCAGATACAACGTCCCGGACCCCGTCGTTCTCAATACAATGACACCCAGATCTCCTGCAAATTTTTGGAACTAACAAGTAACAACAGTTTGATTGAGCTTTCAAAGTGGAGTCCAACTGGTGAAAGTGCCAGTTCCTGAAAACGAAAGGTCGATCGATCGATCGATGAGCAGTACACATTCTTTGCACACACACATACCGGTAGAAACTAGTTTGCCGTTTAGGGCCCCTTTGAATCGCAGGGTAGAAAAAATAGAGGAATAGGAAAAACACAGGATTCTGATAGGAATTGAAGTGTAAAACGAAGGATTGCAAAACACAGGAAAAACACAGGAATGGTCGTTTGATTGGAGCGCAGGAAAAATGCAGGAATCGAATGAGAGAGATAGACTGAAAGGAAATTTTCCAAGAGGTTGGAGCTCTTGCTAAATTTCCTCCAAAATCCACATACAATGTGTCATTCCATAGGAATTTCATAGGATTTGAAAAGCTTCAATCCTTTGAATCAAAGGGCCAAATAGGAAAATTTCCTATAGGATTTGAATCCTATAAAATTCCTACATAAGTCCTTTGATTCAAAGGGGCCCTTAGTTTGTCAGCTTGCTCCTTCTTCCACGCTAAGGCAAGATCAGCGAGGCCTACCCAAAAGAGTCCTCTACTGTTAGCAAAAGGCAATAAATCTAAACTGTTGATTCCATTTGATCGAAGAGTTCAGGTTCATTTATACTATTGATTTAGTCGATAACATAGATGCTAAAATTACTTCTAATCAATGTATTAGCAAATTGCTAATTTCCCCCTAATAATACTGATAGTATAATACTACTAGTAAATACTCTCTCCATTTACTTTTGATAGTCACATTTCATCTTGGCACACATACCAAGGATAAGTAATTCTACTTATCATCCATTTAAACATGCTATTAGTTATTTCTCGTAAACAAGCGATTCATTAATATTTACATTTCTCGATGCCCATGTAGCCAATCTTGTGTGAAAGAATTGAGAGTCACGCATTAAATCCGAGAAAGCCATTAAGATGATAGGATATTGGATTCAAATATGCATATCAAAAATAATATTTTTAGATTTAAAAATATGACTATTAAAAGTAGATGGAGGAAGTGTATGGGAGCATCGCTCTAGCCAAAATGGTTCGAGTCCAAAATGGCTGTGGCCGCATGCGTGCGTGCGGCATGCGTGCCCCTGGTCCAGGGGCAGTGAGTGGCTGGCTGCTGCTGCTGCTTCCCTCGTGGCGTGGATCGGTTGGGTCAAAAGGGAGCTATAGCTTGAGAATAAAAAAAGAAATCGCTGAGATTCGCTGGGAATATCGGCAAGGCCGCAGGCATGTTCCCCCGAAGAAAGTATAGCCACCATGCATAAAGAAAGGAGGGTTATATTAATTAATTAATTAATTAATTAATTACAGAATCCGGCATGTTGCGAGAGTTGAAGTAGTGTTGAACACAATGCAAGAAGAAGAGAGAATCAATGCCGGCCGGCGACAAAATTAATGTGGTGCCCATCTAGCCCGCTACTACTCCTGCACTGCTGCTAAAACAACCCAAGAAATCAGTGTGCTGCTCTGTACGAGTAGGATAGATATACTGTGTCAGATGCTTCATTGATTTTCTTAATCCCTACATCTCTTAGAAAATATATTCTGCAATTTTAGTGTTATACTCCCCCTGTTCTCAAATACTCCTATAATTCTACTATTCAAATTTTGTCCAAAATATAAGCATTTTTGGGACACTTATTCTACGGCACAAGAATATCTAAATATTTTCACCCAATTATGAATTCAAAATCCAAGCAATTTAAAAATAGAAAATTTAATGACTAAGGTGACTAGACCAAAAATGTTTCTCTCATTTTTAGTACTTACTCCCTCCACCAAGACGTAACAAATTATGACAATGTATCTAAACATACCCATAGCCAAAATTTACTACTGTTTTTTTAACGGTTAACAGGGGAAGGAATTAAATTCCCCACCTGAATAGATTAAAAGGAACAAAAACCGCCAAGGACAACTGAAAACTGTACAAATTGGGGAGAAAACAGAAGAAGAGTTAAGACACGCATCACAAAAAAACCTACAGAAGTTGAAAGTTGAAGTGGAAGCACGAAGATAGAATCCATCTTCGAGTTACTACTATTTTAAGACAGGTACTATTTTTTTTAACGACTCACATAAGACGGTGCGAAATTTTATTGATAGAGCAGGAAAAAAAATACAAGATTACGGTATAATTTTTTATTTTTTCCTGGAGACGGAGTACTATTGAAAAATGTAGAAACGCTTATATGTTTAGGAACCGTAAATGGAGTATTAAAACAAAAAACATGAATATTTATTTATTGGACTTTATGTTGGCACCAGGTACGTAGCAGGTAGCCATGAGGATATATATCACTGGTTGGATGTGATTTGTGAAGCGCGCGCGCGTGCAGAGCTAGCTAAAGAGGCACCTAGCATGGGCACATGCTAGCTGCAGGCCGGCCGATCCTGCACCGGTTAGCTCCGGCCGATACGCCGGATTATTAAATGACGAGATGGACGGACGGAAGGATGCCCCGCGTGCAGGGAACGATGCATCGTCAGGAGAACCAAAACCACCACCATGTGGCCATGGCCGGCGCGCGCATCAACCTACCAAATAACTCTCTCTGTCCAAAAATAACTAATCTAAAATTAAATTAGACATTTTCTAATACAACGAATCTGGACTATCCCATCTAATCCTATATTGGTTTTTCTGTGGGATGGAGGGAGTAGCCCAGGACTCCAAGTTCAAGCCGTCACTTTCATCGTGACCGCGCGCGGCCGCAGCAGCGGGAAGGGAAGCAGATCCTCTTTGACGTAAAATGCACCGTGGCTGTGTTTAGTTCACGCTAAAATTAGAAGTTTGGTTAAAATTGGAATGATGTGATGGAAAAATTGGAAGTTTGTGTGTGTAGGAAAGTTTTGATGTGATGAAAAAGTTGGAAGTTTAAAGAAAAACCTTAAAACTAAACACGGCCTGTGACATACTCACCGAGTCCGTGAGTGTTGGGATTTATGGACCTGTTCGGCTGTTATGTTTAGTGGCTGCGCTACTACAGCTGCAGCTAGCTGCAAAAAAAAAACACTGTGGCTATTGGCTGCAACACACTAAAAATAAGTGCAGCCGAACAGAGCCTATATATCACATCATCATTTTCAGGGGCGAACTCATAATAAAATTATAGAGGGGGCTTTATCTCCTTTTCCTCTAGCTCCCCTACTCTTTCTTCTCTTTTTTTCTCTCTTCCCGGTCTCTTTCGCTGGAATAGGGGGCGACTCGAGTCCTTCCAACACCCTCAATGGGTTTGATCGTCTTTGATCATGTTCACGTCCCTCTGATTTCACGACATAAGATCAATAGCGGCGGCATGGGCCACGCGAGGCCGGCGCTCCAACACCCATCTCCGCGTCTGCTGCTGCTAGCTCGCCTCTTGCCTCGCGCGCGTGCCGATCGATCGATGATCGCGCGCAACAATAACTAGCTAGCTAGGCGATCTATATCTGCCACCACCCATGTGGCCGTGTGGATCCTCGCCGGCCGCCGGCCGTTTTCTACCCGCCGGGTGCTGCCCAAACACTGAATATCTGTGCATGCATGCATGGTGCAAAGTACTAGTGTGCCAGAACCTTTTCGGTGTGGCCACGTCTTGGCCCTATATCGCGCCATTGATTCATCACACAATGCTAGCCGCAGCTTTCTCTTCTCTCCCCGGCAGGCAGGCAGGCTGCAAGCAGCAGGCTCTTCTTTCTCCTGAACTCATTTGCACTTGTAGAGATGATCCATCCATGTGCCTGCAATATATAATATTACCTCCGTTCCAAAATAAATGCAGCTGTGAATATATGTGCCCAATATTTGACCATCCGTATTATTTAAAAACATTTAGTCACACATAAAGTACTATTAATGTTTTATTATATAATAGTAATAAAAATACTAATCATAAAAAAAAATTAAATAAGACGAACGGTCAAACGTTGAACGTGAATAGTGTAAAACTGCACTTATTTTGAGACAGATGGAATACAAGAGCATGTAGGTGTGTGTATGGATGAGTCATCTTCTCTGCAGGACTGTCCTCTAACATGGATCGCTGGTGTGTAGACCCGTTAGATACGTGGTTCACATACCACCCACTTAAAATTAGAAGATTGTACGTGCTGTAGAGAATATGTTTCCGTATGACTATGTATGTATGTATGTATGTATGTATGCACGGGAAATTAGAGATCGATCTGTTACCACCGCCACCAGCAGCAATGCATGATGCATTTACTAAACTACTGCTGCAGCAGATAGCTGCTCCCCCAAGCCATAGCCAGCATATGCAATTCTGCATCCTGCACACCCGCACCGTGCAGTGTGTTTCCCCTTTTCCCTTCGGCTCAGAATCAGAATGTGAGCCCACCAACCAAAGTAATTGCAACTAGCTACACCAAAAAAACATGTACTACTAGCTAGCTCCTACACACGAGCAAAGGAAAAAAGAAAAGGCAATCAAGAAGCACAAAGCAGGTAAAGAAAAGGGGCCACACTTGTGTCCCTCTTGCTGAGATTTCTGTTGTCACGGCAGCAAAATTTAATTACAGGACCTTGGCCAGAAGGATACGGTAATAGACACCTTCAAAGCCAAAAGCCCGGGTTTTCACCACCGCATGCATCGATCATGCATGATCAGTTACCATCCATGCATATAACTCTTGTTGTTGTTCTTCTTCTTCTTCTAATGGACCAAAAGGAAAGAGACAAATTAAGGAACAAAAAGCTAGCTAGCTAGCTATATGCCTTGGATCAGCTACTTGCCAATCAGCCCTTTGTCCCCGTTGATCTTAATCTTCACCAACTTGCGCAGGAACTCCTTCACCTGTACACACATGTACACACATCAATGATCACGAAAACTCAATGAGAGTAATTAAGAAATAGATTAACTAAAGAGAACTAATTTTAAAAGCGCACACTTTGCTAGCTTTCGCTGCTTTTTCCACAGCAACAAATTGGATCGACCGATCACTTTATGACCATCTATCAGGTGGCATGCAGTTTCAGAGCATAAAAAAATATATGTACTAGTAGTAGCTTGCAAATGCACTTGCACCAAACTCTCCTATAGATAGCTAGCAACTCCTACGTTCTCCAGTAACCAACAATGGCTCCTCTAGCACAGCGTTTTCTGAAAGCTGTCACTTCTTATAAAGCATAATTGAAATAGTCACCTAGCTATAGTATACAACATTGTAGATACAGTATGCATATCAGTAGATGCAGCTACTAGCTAGAAGTGAAGTGGTGTGTGAGTGGCTGTATATATACCTCGGATGGCTCTCGCAGAGTGTAGGATGCAGCTGTCTCCTTTGGGACCTTGGTCACAAGGATTCCTATGCCCTGTCCCATGTTGCGCAACACCTGTAGTTTCATTTCACCGAGGACAAAAGCGTCATTTCATCGTTACACATAGCAACCATTGTTTTCTTTATTTTCTATAATAAGTACTATAGTGCATCAAAGGATCATTTATATACCTTGAAAGCATCCTCGTCGGTGCGGTCATCTCCAATGTATATCGGGAAAACATTGTTGCGCCCCTCATAACCTTTAAGGGAAATAAAAGACATGTGCAAAAAATGTCGTTAGCGCATTTATTAACACCGAAAATAAGTAACGGATTTTCCCGCGTAATTTTGCATGGGCTAGATACGTACATCCTATATATTCTATATATTGAGTTGGATTTTATGTACAAAATGTAACTCTCGCTTTTTTTTAATACAAAATGTACTCCTACTTTTGTACAAAACGATACAATTTGGACCTATTACCATCTAAATCAATTTTTGTTTTTCTTTACACCTCCAAAACGAATATGGTTAATTTTCTATCTATCGTAGATCGACTTATAATTAAATAGATATAGTTCTAGCCTAACATACTAAGAAAAAGAAAGAAAGAAAGAAAGGCTAGTTGGCATATTAGAGCTACGTGCTTACCGAGAGATTTGAGCAGGAACTGGAGTGCGGAGCCTTTGTCCCAGTCGATGACAGGGCGGATCTCCAGCACCTGTAAATATATATATATAACAAAATTTCCATCAGATAATTAACAACGTACAGCTAAGCTAGTCAAATTAAAAACCTTCCATGTTAACCAACTTGACAAATGAATCATGAGGTTTAAATTAAAGCCAATTAATCCGTGGGCGTTTGTGGCAAATAATTAGCCGGTTCTAATCGCATGGAATGGCGGTTTTAACTTTGGCACCGACCTTTCTCCCCTTGCTGAGACGGAGATCCGGGTAGCCCTCTATCACCGCCCTCACCTTGCCGTCCAGCACGCCCCATTCCTGCATGAACCGGATCAAAACGTTGTATCAGTTCATCATCAAATCAACCGAGAAAACCCACACATCTACCGTGATAAAACTCACCGCCTCGTCGACGCAGCGGTAGTGCACGGAAAGGCAAAACTTGTTGTTCTCCACCAGCGAACCCCTTATACTCGCCATCCTCTCCTTCAGCACATGATACACCTGCATAAATATAATTTCATCCACCGATTGTCATAAGATAGTGCGATGTTTTATATTGATATAGTAGGAAAAACCGCGAGGTTGCTTTGCCACGCGTCGTGGCAGCCAACGCTTGCGAGTTGCCAAAAATTTCCGGGAAATTACTGCGTGCGTGCGTACCTCCTCGATGACGGGCAGGAAATCGGCGGCCGGCTGGAAAGTAACAGCATCACCCTGCGAGAGAGAAAGTCAAGTGTATAGCCCACATCAGACAAATTAACTACAGCTGATGATGATGATGAGCCAGCACACACAAATTAAAACCGAACAGTGGACGACGAACGGATCGGAGATAGTACTACGTAGTAGTAGCAGACAAAAAAGACATGTCTCTTTCGAGAGCCTAGTGTACACACACAGGTATACACGTAGAGAGAGAAAAAAAACACGCACAACACAACAACTCGAGACAAAAGTGCAGATATAGAGAGAAAGAGATCTAGAGAGAGAGAGTAACATAATTACTGACCTGCTTTGCCTTCATGTTGTGGTTGTACTCCGACGCTGCCGCGGTGGGGCCCCTGATGTCCATTCCATGGCTCCCGGCGTAGTACAGCTCCTCCAGCTTCACAAAGTCGAACACCTATACATGTACACACACATGCGTTGCACCACCCATGTCATGCTCATATACTACATAGCTACTGTTACTACTACTATTACTACTGCTTGACCAGGACCAGCACAACAAAAAGAAAAGAAAAGTTCTTTTTAGCATACACGATGCTGCCTCCTGTGGAAGCACAAGAAACTGCATGCAAGCACTGTTCCATCCATCCATCCATAAACCGGTGAAATCGCACGAGATTTTTACCAGAATGAATCGGGGAGAAGATTCCTTTGTTTTTTACATTGGCTCACACATGACACATCATGGCATCATGCCGAGTCACGCGTGGATCAGGGGAAAAAAAGAGTAAAAAAACAAGGGGCCCAGTTAAAAAAAAAAGAGAAACAAACTGGGACCGTTTTATTTCCCCCCTTTTTTTCTTCGCGGAAAAGAGGAATAAAAGAAGGCATGGAAAACCATGAGAGAAAGTACTAGTGTTGGAAGTGTCGAAGGTGTACCTTGTCGATGCACCTCCCGCTCACGATCGCCGTCGGGAAGTGCTTCGCCACGCCTCTCACCGCCTCTCTCATCTGAGGTAAAACAGTAAAAAAAAAAAACAAGAGTTAGTCACGGTAAAAAAAAGGGGGACAGCTCGGCGACGAAACAGAGCATGTCACTCTCTGCTTCGAGAGCGGCAGGAGAAGGAGAAGGGAGAGGATTTCGAGAAGAAAGGTGAGATTTTATTTTTATTTTTTTTTGTTACTGACTTCGTCGGACATGAAGGCGCGGTCGGGGTCGGCGACGATGGGGGAGAGGGTGCCGTCGTAGTCGAGGAACACGACGATCTCCTTGCCCTTCGCCGCGGCGGCGACGGACTCGAACCATGCCAATGCCGACGGGTGCTTCTCCTGCAAACACGAGCAAAAAACACACACACGGCGCCGCGCGCCGCCGGATCACGCCACGGTTTCACGACGAACAGGGAGAGAGAGAGAGAGAGAGAGAGAGAGAGAGAGAGAGACGGGATCAAGCGTACGCCGCGTCGTACCATCCAGTCGTCGAGCTCGGCGCCGGAGACGGGCTTGGCGTGGCGCGGCCAAGATCCGGGCACCGTCGCCACCCCGCCCGCGCCGGCGAGGTCCACGTGCGCCGCCGCCTTCTTGCAGTCGGTGAGCCTGGACGACGGCGCCAGGAACGGCGGGAAATGCCGCCCGCCCTGCGCCGCCTGCACCGGCACGGCCGCGGTGACCGCGTCGTCCGCGGCGAAGCCGGCGTGGTTCGTCATCCCCCAAAATCAACCGCGACCGAGCAGCGGAAGCCGAAGCAACCAGCGAGCTGTGGGAGTGAGAGATCGAGGAGACGGTGGCGCGGTGACGGCGACGGCGAGGTGGTGGTGGAGGAGGAGGAGATGACAGGGGAAGGTGGGGGCTTTGGACGGTGGGGGGAGGGGGGTTTATATAGGTAGAGGAATGGCCCACCACCGCAGTTTCCTTTATTTTTTTTTCCTCATCGTTTTCTAGAGACAGATTCTCACAGATTTTTTTTGAGGTTGGTAAACACGTTATACAATAATAAAAGAAATGTTTTCTTTTCTATTTATTTTATTTTTGGAGGAATGAGGTCTTCTATTTGGTTCCGATAACATATGTGTGGAACGCGTGCACGATATCCGGCATGGTTACATAAGGTTTGTCTGTATTGAAAATGCGATGTCGCGTATATTAGGCTCAGGTATAATGTGGCAATAAGCGATAACCGACATTTCTTACTGATGTTTTCCGCGTTGACGTTTTGTTAGATTCTTGTTCGATCGTAGTTAATTACTTCCTGTGTCGGTATCTCCTACGTACGTGTTGTGTTTGCCGCTATTTTGTTAAATTAAATACTCAATAAACACATAACAATTACATAAAGGACCCTATTCCTCGTCTTCGTGATATTCCCAAATTCCTTACTGATATTAATGTGACCACAATCTGTAAGATTTATTTTTTATTGGAGAATCAGCAAGATTAATTAGAGTTAATGTAGTACATTTAAAGCTCCAGATATACCCACAGCTCTAGAAATAAATGCACCAGGAGAAACAACGGAGGAAAACCATCGCGAGATCGATCGATCGAAGCCCCCACCAAAACACTCCCAATTATTAGCAATCCCCCGGCCATTATTGAAATCAACCTAGGAATTAATTTGATTTGGCTTGAAAGCAACCATACCTACGACGAGACGATGATTCATCTCATCAGCCGCCGTAGCGTACACCAATACTACCGCGCCCTCCGCGTACACCACGCGTACACCACACGCGCGCGCGCAAGTAAAAATGAAGCAGCAGCACACACGCGCGACGCGAGCGCGGCGGTGGCCGAACCCGACTTTTTTTGGCCGGTGTCACGTACTGTGGCCTGTGTGGGTTCGCATCGCATGACGCCGAATCGGTCGAACGGCTCCGGTTTGGCTGGGCGCCGCACGCGCGACGGCAAGAGCGCGAGTGGGAGCTGAGGCGGGGAGGCCGTACACGTTGGGGGTGGGGCCCAGCGGCGCCAGCTGCTGCGGGGGGGCAAAGCGTGGGGCGCGGCGCGCGAGCGGGGGTGGGGCCCGCGGTGGCGGTCGCGGGGGCGAGGGGCGAGGGGCGGGGGACGGCACGTGTTCGCCGTGGGGCGGCACGGCCGCTGCTGCATCGGTCGTGTGCCGGCGCCGGTGGACCCTCCGACCCTGGCTGCCGTTCCGGTTACTCGGACCGTTTTGAGTAGAGTTATTGCCACCCTACGATTTAACGATTACTGCTGTAAGGGCACCCGCAATGGTTATCTATAGGCTCTCTATAAGAGATCCATGTGAGCATATTTTTCTACTTGGAAGAATTAAATGTAGAGAGAGAGCAAAGCTATCTACTAACCTGAAGATAGTCTATAGAGAAAAACGAGGCAATGAATTAGAGAGCTATAGATACCCATGTAGACATACCATTAAAGTGGTTTACTATTAATCTAGTCTATTGCTGAGATGTACATGTTTTATAGATAGCACCTTACTTTACCATTGCGGGTGCTCTAACCGCGCGATTATCATCAGATATACGATGATTTAAAAATAATAACGACACGGTTTTATAAATCCTACTCCAAGGCCGTGATGAATGGGAAAATACACCAACATTCCCGTACGGTAAATATCATAGTGTTCTTGGTGGTTTAAATTGAAGTCAATGTTGAAAAATACTCTAATCTATATAAAAAAGTTAACATTAAATTTTAAAATTCGGGTTTGGCTGATAAGACAACAAGCAAAGACAATGGTACGCTCAATAGATTTTGTATATAGTAGTAGTATATTATTGTGACCAATTTACATAAACATGGATATCATCCCTCGGGAGATCGAGAAGAATGCCCATACAGCGAATGAGCTGTACTATATCACAGAAGGGCTTAACTAATAATCAGATCAAGAGTAGCAATATCTAAGTTAGGAGAAAAAAGGGTACATTGTACTCCACTCATTAGGACTTGGGATGATACAAAAGTTGGTATATACTAATGGCAAAAGCTTTCACTAAACCAGCAAAAACCATTAAGCGATCGCTGTAGCTTGTCCAAATACATGAATCCATGTATAAGCTGGCATGCCTCAATTGATCAAACCCGGCCTCGAGTACGTTTTCTTTAGCCTTTTTCCATCCATGATGATATTTTTCTCCACTGCCTAAGGGGTTAGTACGTCCAGTGGCTTTAATCTGTGCCACGTATGATCCTCAAAAGGTCACCACTTTCTAGGGACACCTACACCGCAACTACAACTACTGGTTAGTAGAGTAGTATACCGCCCCCTGGAAATGCATATAACTATGGGCTGTTGCTTGCATGGTAGCCAGCTACCGGTATATGCAATGCATGTGACACTCACTGATGTGGCACCTCCTCACTAATATGGCCATTTCACCACAAGGTGTGATTGACAATTGACATGAAAAAGACTGTGCATTTTGTACTATAATATAGCTACTCTTGATGCATGCGCATATATATATGTATGTATTGTTTCTTGTCTCTCGCTATACAGCTCAAAGTAAAAAAAGGAACAATGTGATAAAGTAGAAAAACACCAAAACAACTTCAGGCCATTCACAAGTGGAACATTGGAACGTAGCTAGCGTGTGTGATATTTCTCAGAAGAAGCACTAAAGCATCCAAAGCAAGCACACACATCATCTGTAAATAAATTCTTTGCACGCCCCTAGGTTTCTTCACTACATACACATGGCCCTTCTCATTCAGTAAAAACTAGGGTCACTGCACATATAAAATCAATGGAGTGCCAATGCCAACAGAACATGCTTGTATATGGGAGTTTCACACACAAACCAACAGTACACACACTTGCACATATTCAAACGACTGCAATTTCGAAGATTCTCTCGTCAAAGTTGTTGTTAATTCTGTTGGTCACGAACCACGCCGACGACGCCGATCGACGACGGCCGGGCGTGCATGAGTATGTCCAGAGATTTGTGCCAAAAAAATTCATACTTTTGCAGAGAAGAGAGCTAGGGAGATCGAGCGATTTATTAAAATCGCATGTGAAGCTACCATGTTTGTCTTGGCGTGGTTGTTGGGAAGTTGGGCCACGATCGTCACTCTATATTTTTGTTCTTTTATATTTGCAGGTCGAGTAGTACACTTGAGAAGTCAAGTCTACTCGATCGTCTCTCTGACTGCCAGCTTCCTGTCTCCATGCCTTGACTCGATGGACGATGTTGATCGCACGTCAGAATCGCAATTTAAGTTGCTGTCTAGAAACTGACTCGCCTTTTAATTCCTGATTCTTTCAGTAAAACCGTTTTCTTCCACACGCACCAAAATATATAGAATAATTAGCTGCATCAGCATAAAAATAAAATCAGTATAGTAATATATATATAGCAACAGTTGTGTGTAAGAAAATAACGTCGAGAATCGATCGGTATCAAAAAAACCATTTGCTAGTATTGTTCTATTGGCCTACAAGCTCTAGTAGTATATATTCCACTATTCCGGCCTTAATCACGCAGAGAATATACACTGTGATGACTTTGAACTTTCAGCTAGCGGCCAGCAGTTGAAACAAGTAGCATTAATTAATTAGATGTGCTTAATTAATTAGACGACGACACTTTCTTGTGTACTTAAGATTCTTAGACGGCTAGTACCCGTCCGTGTTTGCAAAGCATTCCTGAATCTGCAGAGCAGCAGAGGGAATAATGTGCAGTCAGGCAACCAAGCTAGGTAAAAAAAAAGTCTTTTTTTTCTACTTTAATTTTACGACGTGAAGCCGTTCATCTTTTTTAATTATGCTCTGGACATGTAAACTAACAGCCTGTTACAGCCACCCACCGTACCAATCTCTAGTCATGCATGACTCATCTTGTATGCATACCTGCATGAATGCCAAAATGCCAAAATATACGTAGTTTGCAAAGATGCATCAAAATTCAAAAAGTCAAAAGTCCAAAACAAATGTCATGCATGACATCATCACATCGATCAATCCGCCAGCTCTGATAAAACATCACATAGCATCTGATAAAGCATGCATGTATGTACTATAAAGCCAATGCAATAATCGATCGATTAGGCTCAGGCACAACAGTGTGTGTGCATAGGATTAGATATCATGAAGGCCAATTGATTGCCGAGTGCAATCGAATATTTTCTTTTTAGAAAAAAAATGAATTGGCAGAGTGAGAACTGTCAATAGTAAGTATTTTAATAAGTCTGAGTAAAACCGTGGACGGGTTAAAAACAAAAGGCGTACAACACCTCAATGCACAATAATTAACAGATCAAATTTTTAGACAGGTTACAAAGAAAAAGAAAAAAAAATACAAGCCAATATCTACAAACCGGCCAGGTTTTTTGCATTCATGTTCTAGCTAGCTCTGACACAACCTTGTACTATTTGTTTTAATCAGCAGCAGCCGCTCTCTTGTCTTCTTTCTCGGGCATTCTGAACCAGCCAAATCCCAAAGCTAGCCAGCCAAATCCCAAAGCTAGCTAGCATCCTTCTCGTCACTAGAGATAGGGAAGGAGCATAGTATGCACGCACCGTCCAGCTAGCAACAACGGTTGCTAGCTAGCTACTGTACGCAGTACTCCGTACGCGCGTACGCTAATTTGTACATCTACCTACACTAGGCCATCGATGATGACTCAGTCCGATCGATCACAATTCACAAAAAATATGGTAACGCGTGCTGCATGCACTGAATCTCGTTAGACCAGTGCGAATATGCAATTTGATTGGACATGTTCGCGACTTGAAAACATAACAGATCATTAACACATAATTAATTATGTATTAATTATTATAAATTTTAAAATAGAGTTGTTTATTTTTTTAAAAAAAAACTTGTGTATAGAAAATTTTTACACATAATGCAG